GAAACGTCAGCTTTTCTGCTCCTCTGATGCTGCTTGGCCTGCTGTGTGCATCCAGCTCCACACCTTGTTATCTCAGATTCTCCAGCATCGGCAGTTCCTACTATCTCTGATCCTTTATCTCAATGCCATATTCCACAAGGTCTGGGTGGGATGCTCTGAGGGTCGGAGTGGACTTGTTGGGCCGAAGGGCCTGTTTCCACACTGTAGGGATTCTATGATTCTATGAGGCCGTAAGAGAAACAAACAAGAGTAGGCTGTTCAGCCCCTCAAGCCTACTCTACCATTCAACAGAATCATGGCTGATCTGACACTTCTCTCATCCACTTGCCTGTCTTTTCCTGGTAATCCATCCTCATTTCATTGACAACGAGCTTTCAACGCTTACAAATTTGGATGATGCTGGTCTCATCAATCAAATTCTCATTAATAATGTGCACGTGGAGATCCCACAGGTAGCGGTGTGATAATAATATCTGTTTCTGTTATGTGGATTGTAGGATAGATATAGGCCATGTCACAGGTGTATGTCCCCTAACCTTCTTTGAAACGTACTGCTATGGGACCTTTAAAAGAGTGTAGACCTCAGTTTAATGTCTCACAGGAACGTAACGCTTAGGATCTGGATTTTAGGCCATTTGGTCTACGAAAATGCTCTGCCATTCAATTAAATCATGAATGATCTGGTTATGGTTTCACACCTTGCCTGCTTAACACCCCCCACCGCCCTCCCCCACCGCTTCCCCCACATATCTTTTGATGCCTCCCATCTATCAAAAAATCCACCTAACTCAGCCTCAAATAAATTCAATGGTCCAGCCTCAGATTCTTCCTTGGAAAGAAAATTCCACATATTAATAAGACAAAACATCATCTGATCTTAAGCCAACTCCATCATTCATCTGAAAGCAGAGAGGCAGCTTTGGAGAGTTAGCCCTGAATTCTGTACTTGATTCCCTGGAGTGGGACTTGAATTCCTGACGATTCTGACTCAAATGTAAGAGCACACTACTCACTGAGCCATAGCAGTCACAAGGACTTTTTGCAAAAAGCAGACTCTTTGAATCATAGAATCCCCACAGCATGGGCGCAGGCCATTCGGCCCATTGAAACTACACTGACCCTCTGAAGGCATCCCACACAATCCCTGTAACCCTGAATTTCCCACGGCTAACCCATCTAGCCTGCACATTCCTGAACACTATGGGCAATTTAGCACGGCCAATCCTCCTAGCTTGCACATCTTTGGGCTGTGGGAGGAAACCGGAGCACCCGGAGGAAACCCACGCAGACACGAGGAGAATGTGCAAACTCCACACAGACAGTTGCCCGAGGGTGGGATCAAACCTGGGTCCCTGGCGCTGTGGGGCAGCAGTGCTAACCACTGAGACACTGTGCCACCCCAAGTCTTCAGGAAATGTATTCAACAGATGATGGAAGTGAGAATCCTCTTCTCAATAACATAAAAGTTGGGAGTCTATTTTGCCTAAGAACTGCTGACTAAAGGAATGATAATCTCTGACTCCAACAGATATTCTGCTTCGGTACTTTGTGAGTTTCTTGTTACTTTGGAAGTCAAGGTACAGCATTCCTTAGGACATGCATCTGAGAAGTTTGATGGAATAACGACCACAGCCACTAACCTGGAACAGCTGAACTGCTGAAGGTTGGTCCTTGTGGAATAATTCCGTGGCACTGAGGTAATCTGGAGGAATAGATTCGACTTGGAAATCCTAAAGGGAGGAAAGGGAAAGCAGACGTCCAGTGATTATCAAACATTACTGACACAGCAGCAAGAAATAACAGTTGGAATACTTTCGAGATGGTTTCATGTAATAATACCATGTGACCAATAGCTCCTCAAATCTGGTAGCTAATCTCTGCTCACTGTGCTTCACTGAAGTGAGGATTTGGAGCAAAGTAAACAGACACTGTCAGAAACTGAGCTGCAAGCATGAAAATTGTGATAGAGGCAAATAAACGTATTGTACACTTGGAAACTAGTGTCATGTCTGGTTGAAGGAGCTTCACAGTTAATCAAGATAACAAGGTGTCGAGCTGGAGGAACACAGCAGGCCAGGTAGCATCATAGGAGCAGGAAAGCTGACGATTGGGGTCTGGACCCTTCTTCAGAAATGAGGCGGGGAAGGGGCCTCTGAAATAAATAGAGAGAGGGGGAGGCGATGATAGAAGGTGCATAGAGGAGCAGATAGGTGGAGAGAAGACGGACAGGTCAAGGAGGCGGGGATGAAGCCAGTAAAAGTGAGTGTAAGTAGGGAGTTGGGATGGGGGTTGGTCAGTGAGGAGTTAAGTACTTTTTGACATGAAGTCCTAGTTAGTACGTTTGTGTAAAAGAGGAACATTGAAAGAGTTACTTTGATAAGCAGGTCCCACTTTGGTTGAGATCAGGTCCATGGTCTCGTCCACTCCCATTAACATTCTATATCTACATAGTACCTTTGATGGTCAAAGTTTCCAAGAAAGTGATGTCTCCAGAAGGGGAATAAAGAAGATTAACAAGATAACCAAACGGATGTTAATCTATGATAGGACATAGAAGATATTGAAAGCTTTCTTGAAAAGCTAAATGTTGAAAAAGCTTCCAAGCGTTTAAAGGAGAAATTACTGCAGTCTCTCCCAGTGCTTAAATTATCCTACAACGTCAGAGAGTCATAGAGGTATATAACACAGAAAAAGGCCCTTCGGTCCATTGAGTCTGTGGTGGCCACCTAACTATTCTAATCTCATTTCCTAATACTTGGCCCATAGCCTTGTATGTCTAGGTATGTAAGGAATTCTTGTTCCATCCACCTCCCATACCACTTTGTTCAGAGCACCCTGGCACCTTCCCTCCATTTTAAATGACTCCTCCATCTCCCAAACTCCCCGGCTGGCCTTCAATTCTATCCAACTTAGGCAGAACTATTTTCACGCGTTGTCTTTCGTTTAAGAAATCTTTTATTGGCAGATATTGTTGTCGTTTTGTTTTTTATTCATACGTGGGATAGACTAGCATTTATTGCCCGTCTCTAATTGCCCAGAGGGCAGTCAAGATTGCTGTGGACCTGGAGGCACATGTAGACCAGACCAAATAAAGATGGCACTTTCCTGCCCTAAAGGACATTAGTGAACCAGATGGGATTTTCCAACAATGGGTTCATGGTCATCAGTTGACTCTTAATTCCAGATTTTTGTTGAATTCAAATTCCACCACTAGCCATGTCAGGATTTGAACACAGCCCCCTAGGGCATCATCTGGCTCTCTGGATTAATTGTCCAGAAATAATACCACTAGGCCATCACCTCCTCAGAGCTTTTCTTGCTGTGGGTCACAGAGGCTGATTTTAGATAAACTCTGTTTTACTGATTAAATTGATACTCCTTTCCAAAGTGTGCCATAATGAATCCTGCTCCATCTCCACTTCACGATGGTGTCAGGAGAGAGAGAGAGAGAGAGCGGGCACTGGTTGTTTCTCAAGTGGTTCTGATCTCAGTCGTTGGGACCGACTCTCAAGTGGCTGCTCTGCCCACTTCAATCCTGCCAGGAACACTGCAGCAACGTTCAAAATATTGGACACTGTACATGTTGGCAGACCGGCAGTGAGCAGAGTTAGGGGCTACGTACGTTCTTGAAGTCTTGACCCAACTTCTGGAGGACACTGAGGTAGAACTTGAAGAAGAAGCTGAGAGTCAGGGTGCGTCGGAATTGAACCATGCCACCAGGAGCAGAGGGCGAGAGTGTGAGTTCATCAGCGAGCAGGGAGCAGGCTTCCTGGAGCATCGACTTGTTCCATTTCCTAAACGGAGAGGGGTTTGAGAAAAGCAATCACTGTTACATCTGAGACCGTGTCAACGTTCCAACGTTTTAAGGATTGAAAGCGAGGCAAGTCGTACTTGGCCCATTCCAATTTCTGTTTGAGGTGTGTATAAGGCAACATTTCCCTGCCCCTGCAATTTATCAGACAATGTTACAATGTGGAAGGTCATTATGGGAGCCCACTGCATTGCCTGAGCTGCCTCAGCACCCATCCACCCCCCCACCCCAACCAGTGCCACTGGGGCCGTGGGCCAGTGTTTTAAGGCTGACATTGGCCACAAGCTGAAAGCTAGCCCAAATCACGCACCCCCTCCCTCCCCCTACTCTCTGCCACCCAGCACGTCGCCAAGTCTGATCATCCCAGCATAGCCAGGTCCTCTCCTAAGTCAGTAACCTCAATCTGTTTTGGTACAGGGTCCAGACCTCTCAACAGCAGTTTCCTGGCAGAGGGGAACTATCACCGTCATTAGAGGCTGTTACAGACATGTCCTTAGGGAATGTGTCACTCCCTCTAGACTGTGGTGAACTGTGCTCTGGTGGAGGGCATTAAATAAGTATTCAGTTGTCCTCGTACATATAAGAGATGATTGAAACTGTGGATGTCGAGTCAGGAGGTGTATGCTTGTCATGTATGACTCTGTAAATAAAAATGTCAAAATGTGCAAACATTAAACTTCATTTCTGTCCATTACCACTAAGCTATTAGGAATAGAACATATTACACTGAGGTGCTTATCTCCAAAGGTTACATCCTCAAATAATTATTAATCCATAACCTTATCAGTGATAGCTATGTGCAAGGGGGAACTGAGTGTCTGTGTGCTTCAGGGTATCTGTACTGTACTCCACATCGCTGTTCCCACTCTTGATTAAGGGGCATGAAGTCTGACTAATTTATCGCGTGTATGTTAAAATGGGAAGTTTATCACGTATTTCCCTCCCCACCAATGATTGGGAAGCCCTAGTTCAGTGGCCTCACTAAAGTGAAAGGGTAAGCGCGTCACGTTGAATCAACTCTTGAGGTGACTTACTTTCCAAGAAGCCGTTTACACGTCTGCTTTGCAAACGCCGTGGTCGGAGCCATGCCTCCGTAACTCAGCCCCAGCTCTTCCACAATGTCAGTGCCTTCCTTGAAAGCGACTCTCATCCCGCAGTTCACGATTGCGATGTCGTCATCCCGCCTCTGGGCTTGCTTATATGCTGAGAAATACTCTCCCTGCAAAGGAAACGGACTAAGTCAACGACCAACGCGTCGACCGCACTTACAGGACCTTGGAGAGGGTGCGGAAGGGGTCGAGCAGAATGGCGCCAGGGGTGCGGGAATTCAGTGACAGTGGAGACACTAGTGAAGCTGAAATCGTCCTTCCTAAATCAGAGGAGGTTGACAGGACAATTGACAGAACCTCAACAAACATACGCACATGGGCATGAGGAGAGGGAATAGTTCACTGAGCCCCTTGAACCTGCTCTGCCATTTATTAACTCCTTAACTCCAGACCCCCTCAAAACATTTTAGAAGTTAGCCCAGACTTTAACATTTTCTTATTTTCAAGCAAATGTAACGTGCCTTGTTCCAGATGCAATGCAACTAGTCAAACTACTTGACGTTCAGCAAAACACAATTTATTTAAACACTGTAGTTAAAATACATCCAAAGGAAGAGAAATTTAAAATAACTTAACTCGATTGGAAAACTTAACAGAACAATAGATACAGCACCTATTACTAATGAACTGTTCCAATATAGTAACATCTCATAAACATGCTCCTTGGCAAAAAGGCAAATTCAGAAAAACAGCTTTTGTTTCATATGCAGTCTAGTAGCCGAGGAAGAGAACCCCCAGTTTTTGGCTGTGATTGAGAGAAGGAGAAATAGCTTCCACTTCTTCAAGCCCACAATCCTGGTCTGTGAGACTGGCCACACCTGGCCAGGCTGCTTCTATTGTTCCAACTTATAAAAACACCCGAGGCATTACAAGCTGTCTACTCTAACGGTTTTGGTAGACTGCTTGTGATCTCTGCCTTACAATCTCTCTTCAAACAAAAGCATGGACAAAATAACCTCTTAAAGCCACAGCACCATCACATTGATCTCATTAATCCACATATAATCCACGTATATTAATCCACCGACCTGAAACATCAACTTCCCTGCTCCTCTGATGCTGCCTGGCCTGCTGTCTTCCTCCAGCTCCACACTGTGTTATCTCAGAGTCCAGCATCTGCAGTTCTTATTTTCTCTCATTAAACCACACGCCTGCTAACACACGTTATTCTTTCTCCCCTTGCTTATCAAGTCTTTTTGTGATATTTGAGGTATCAAAGAGCCTTTTTGTAGAGTGTTGGTTGCTCAGTGAACTGGTGTTGGTAAAACTGAAACAGGGCAGGTTGGAATTGGGGTTCAGGTTTATACAACTTTAATGGCTCAATGATCCAAACCAGTTTTAAGGTTAAAACTCCACCCCAGCATCGCGCCTCCAACTTCATAATCCTTCATACTGATCGTCCCCACATTGGTCAAGTTATAGACTACACTCAGTTTAGAATGTGTTTTTGCAGAGTTACATAACCAGAATTGAACAAAAAACTACAGATGTTGGGAATCTGAAACAAAGACAGAAAATTGTTGGAGAAACTCAGGAGGTGTGGCAGCATGTGGAGGGATAAAGCAGAGTTAATAATTTCGAGTCCAGTGACCACTCAAGAATCCAAAGGTCACTGGGCTTCAAAACGTTAACTCTGCTTTCTCTCCCCACACACTGCCAGGCTTGCCGAGCTTCTCCACACTTCTCTGTGTTTGTTTACAGTAAACAGGGGATGGTTTCTTACCTTCTTGGTGTAGGGGATCTCGATGGAGAGCAATATTTCCTGCGGCTTCACCACGGTCTTCCTGTAGCCTGTGAAGAAATCTCGGTCCATCCGCACAACGCGTTTACCACCTGCAGACAGGGCAAAAGGGAGGATTAGCTCCACGGCCATGTTCACGGTCAGACAGCGATGGGTCTCAAACATCTCTCTGGGATACCACCCACCTTCAGAGGACAAGGTGAGCAGGCAGCCAGATGCCATGAACACGGGGTTGAGGTCCGAGATAGGGCTGGCGGTCATGATGTTCCCTCCGACTGCCTGGAAGTGTAGAAAGGAGGAGGGTTAGTACTGTGCACTGTCTAGGCTCCTTCTTTCCCAGACCACATGCTGCTGTGTAAATCGAGGCTGGGTTGGATACCCCTCCTCCCAACAGCAGGAGATCATATCCTATTCCTGATGATACACCCACGCCCATCCATCCCTCTGGAGCCAGGCAGAGTTGTATGTCAGAGATAGTAGGAACTGCAGATGCTGGAGAATCTGAGA